TTACATCATACTCAGTGGTGAAACACTGAATGCTTCCCTCCTAAAATCAGGAATAAGACAAAGGTGTTTGTTACTGTCACTTCTATTCAATATTGTACTAGAGGCACTACCCACAACATTTAGGTGAGAAAAAGAAATAGGATCTAGAGTGGAAAGGAAGTAAAACTACTTCTATTCACAGATGCATGATCTTATATATAGAAAATACTAAGGAATCAAAAACAAAATAAATAGTTAAGAAAAGCTGCAGGATGTTAAGATCAGTACATAAAAATTGCCTATTTCTATACACTAGAAATGAACAGTCCAAAAGTGAAATTTAGAACTGTTTACAACAGCATCAAAAAGAATACTTTATAAATAAAATATTTAACCAAAGAAGACTTGCACACTGAAATCCATGAAATGTTAATGAAAAAAATTAAAGACCTGAATAAATGAAGACATTCCATGTTCATAGGTTGGAAACCTTTATGTTGTTAAAAGTATTTCCCAAGTTCATCTACCAATTCAATACAATTCTTTCAAAATGCCAGATACCTGTTTTGTAGAAATTGAAAAGTTGATCCAAATTCATATATAACTGCAAGGGTCCAAGAATAGTCAAAATCATCTTGAAAAAGAACAAAGTTGGAAGCCTCATACATCCCAAACTAAAAGCTTATCACAAAGCTACAGCAATCAAAACAGTGTGGTACTTGCTTAAGGACAGACATAGAAATCAACAGAATGAAACCGAGAGCCCAGAAATAAACTCTTACATTTATGGCCAATTATTTCTTGATAATGGTGACAAGACCATTCACGAGGAAATAACAGTCTTTTCAACAAACTGGTACTAGAAACTTGCTGTCCACATGCCAAAGAATGAAGTAGGATTCCTATAATGCAATGTATGCAAAAATGAATCAAAGACCTAAATGCAAGAGCTAAAACTGTAAGACACTTAAATGAAAGCTGGTGTAAACCTTCATCAGTTGGATTAGGCAATAGTGTTTTACGTATCAAAAGATCAACAGGAGAAAAAATAACTTTGGACATCATCAAAATTAAAAACTTCTGTGCTTCAAAGGACACTATCAAGAAAGTGAAAATACTATCCAAAGAATGGGAGAACATATTTGCAAACAATCTCTCTGGTAAGGGACTTGTATTCAAAATAAATAAGTAAATAATAAAAAGACAATCTAATTTAAAAATGGGCAAAAGATCTGAAGAGACATTTCTCCAAAGATAGATAAATGGCTAAAAGGCATGAAAAGATGCTTAACATCATTAGTCATTAGGAAAATACAAATCGAAACCATGAGATACCATTTCACTCCCACTGGGATAGCTCCTATCAAAAAGTCAGATAATAAGTGTTGGTCAGGATGTGGAGAAATTAGAAATCTCATGGACTGCTGGTTGGAATATAAAATGGCCACTTTGGAGAACATTTTGGCAGTCCTTGAAAGGATTAGGCATTAATCCAGCAAGTCTACTCCTATGTACAGGACCAAGAGAAATGAAAACTTATGTCCACATAAAAACTTGTACATAAAGTCATAGTAGTATTTATAATAAAAAAGCAGAAATACAAATATCCAAGTGAATGAAAACATTGTATATTAATACAATGAAATATATGGATATGCCTTGAAAACATTGTTCTAAGTGAAAAAAGCCAGACATAAAAAGGTGACATACTGTACGGCTCTGTATGTCTAAAACAGGCAAATCTATAGACAGAAAGTAGAATTACTGCCGGGGCTTGGGAAGAAGCAGAGAATAAAAGTCACTGCTAATGGGTACAGCATACTATTTTTTAAACACTTGATGAAAATGTTCTGAGTTATGTAATAGTGATGGTTGCACAATTTTGTGAATACTTTAAAAGCCACTAATTGTACACTTTAAAGGGATGACTTTTGTTACATGACTTGTATCTTTGTTATGTGTTAAGATAAGGAAAAGCACCCATCCCGTTTTGAGTGAAAGAGGAAGGGAATAAAAGAAATCTTCATTACAAATATCTCTCTAACCTCTTGATGGATCTTATTTAACAGGTGAATGCTGGGAGAATCCATCTCTGTCTCTCAGACTGTATTTCAACAGGTTGTCTACCATTTGTACCTCAACTTCATAGAATCTTGACAACCAGCACTGAGGTGAGCCTGAATGTGACCACCCAGGCCAAGGGAAAGGCACAGGCAGGACTGACACCCAGAGCCATCCACCTCTGAAGGTTGCACCCTCAACCACTGTGTGCTATGCAACAGACACATGTCCATCCCATTTTCTTTGGTTCCTGGAGATTATAAAATAGCTGTGAATCATGAATAGCTCCAGGTCCTGTTCAGATGAACCTAATCTTGACTTCAGGGTTTGTAGCAATGGTTGTTAGGTCTGGCAAAGCAAGCATTCATGTTTCACTTGGTATAAAAAGCACAGTATTTGGCGGATTGCTCCTTGTCAGATCTGAGGGGTTGACAACTGCAGGATGGTGTAAGACTCCTGCCCCCATCTCCACTGACGGGTGTGGCCAGAGACAGTGGTTGCACAGAGGCTCCTGGCTGCCAGAGCACATCCAAAGGGCAGACCTGAGGGAGTCACACAAAAAACCTTGCTCTCAAGGACTTTGTCCTTTTTCATCCTTCCCTTCTTACTAATCTATCTTTCCACAGGCTGAAATGGCAGCCAGTGATTCTGACAGCCGCTTCCTCAAGAAGCAAGTCCTTTTGCCACTAAATGTTCAAATACTTAAAAACCTTTCTTGAGGAAGAGTTGTGGGGAGACAAGGGGACAGAGGCCATCTTTAGTGAAAAAACAGGAAGCCTCATTAATCCTTCTACTGCACGAGAATCATTGTCAATAACTCAAGCGGTGACTCTTGACAAGCTGGTGGACCTCTAACAGTCACACTGCAACTACTGCATGGGAGAGGCACAAAAATACAGTGTTTACCATGAATTTTCTTCAAATAATGCTTATGGAATGAAAAAAATCCGACTCCTTACTATTCAAAGAAACATGTCCCACCATTCTGTGCTACCATAGAATGAGGCTAGAGGCATTTTTGGGAGTGATGAAATCTTTACGGTGAGGTGTTTTTAATATGGTCTTAAAGGATACTTGAGAAATATAAAAAAATTAAGCACAAATGAAGACAGTGAAAAAGGATGCAGGGAGAAGTACCTGTTAACAGATGGCACAACTGGAAAAGCAGGTGGAACCCAGTCTATGGAGGGCTTTGGATGCCAGGTTTGGAAATTTATTCAAAGGGAAACAAGTTTGAGCCAGAGTATATTTATATGAGCAAAGTTGTGTTTTAGCAGAATGACAAAGACTGGAAGGGGTGGTTGGAGTCAGGCAAGTAAGTTAGGAAACTACTGAGAGAATACAGATGAGTCCAAGAATCAGGGCCCAGAAGGAGGTATGATGGAGGAATGATGAGATTTGAAAAGAACTGATAGAAGCTGTGACAAATGAGGAATTTTGATGACTGGGTTGAAAGTGATGCTTTTTAAAATAAAAGGTAGAGATGCAAGATGTTGAGCTTTCAGATGTACTGACTTTTTGAGGTACCAAAAAGATACCTTGGGGAAAGTCTGAGCAGAAGGATCTGGGGAAGAATCTTCAGGAGTGATTCAGGTTGACAGAGAATTGGAGGGCAATTAAAAATGGGAACTTTAAAGAAGAAATAGAGTAGCATCCAGCCAAGTCAAAAAAAGGAGCAGTCAGAGTAGCAGCCAAACTATGTGGGGCGTTGTCAAGGTTAAACGTATTCTTACCGGCAATTAGGCGGCTATGAGAATCCTGCAGGAAAGCATTTTCAGTGGCACAGCAGCGATTAGCAGCATTTTTCACACTGAGACATTGTACATCAAAAAATCTTTGTGCTGTGGTTGTCAACAAATGCCAAAGTCCCAGCTTTGAACAGAGAAAGCGGGGAGAGCCTTGGGACTGTGCACTTCAAATACTTTCCTACCCTGCCAGGAAACTGTTTACAGACTAACACACTGGGTAGAAGACAAGAGCGGAGCAAGGGCAGAGACGGCCCCAAGAGGCTGGTGGAAGGTCCAAAAATATTAAGGTAAGGGGATAGACTCTAGATAGAATAGCCTATAGCCTTGGGAAAACACTCCTTCCTCTGACAGTTTGTATGAAATTTTTGAGAAAATCCCAAAAGGGGCCTGAAATCCCAGTACAGTCATGTTCTTATGGGAATAGGGAGTGATGTTGCTAAGTTACAAATACCTGTCCTTTCTAATAAGATAACTGAGCCAAGGGGGAAAAAAGAGGAACAACAGCAAGTTCAGTTTGAAGCTTCGTTTTCTAATTTCTTCTTGATCTATATCCCCCTGGATAGGTATGTATCCCATAATAAAGTAAGGGAAGTTGTGATTGGAGTTATCACACAATTATCCACAGCCCAAGAAAACAGTATTAGGATAAGGAAATGTAACTCACTTGCTGAAGCTGCTAGGTTCCAGAGAAGTTTGGCTGCAGGCTGTTTTCACATTGTATGTTTGAAATTCTTTAAAATAATAAAAACATAAGTTTCTATTTGATTTGTAAAGCCAATTATTCCTGAAGATTGTAGGCCAATTCACAGAAAACCAAAATATGAAGAGAGTATCTTGGCAAAAAAGTACTTTTGTATATGCATTTGGGGTAGAGGGAATAGCCACTGTACTAAAAATTTATAGTTTTCCTCTTCCTTAAGATACTGGTCAGTGACATTCTAGTAAATAGTAATGAAAAGGGAGCAATGATAATAGTAGTAGTAACATGCCCAGGATAATTAATAACTAGGCAGGGGAGAGCAGCTAGTCTGGACAACCAATGACTTTTGATATTTTTAAGGATAGGTTTATTTTTCAGCTGTTAAAAGTCTATTTGTTATGAATTCTGTATCTGATGACCTATTCTCAATTACCATTCACAAACTTCATACATATATTACAATTGTAGAACTTCAATACTGCAGTGATAATAAAACTTGAGAACTGAAGAGCACAGATTTCTTCATGAATTTATTATATAAAATGACCCCAGAGTATTTGATTTCTCTTCTTTCTTTCATTACACACAGAAGCACACGGATTAGAGGCCCTTTAAGATGACTGTAGGGGCAGGAGGGTTCCTTGCATCAAGGTAGTATACAGACTTAACAGTGTTTTACTAAAGGCTGACCCAACCCAGTAAAACCTTATGTTACTTATCACAATATGGAAATAATTGTCTTCTTTTTTTCACTAGATTATGGTGAAGAATGTCACTGTTTTATTTAGTGTTAAGGTACACAACAGTTCTGTCTCAGTTACTAAAATAATTAAAATAATCCTGAAAGACATCCTTATTCCCCTCCAATGATTTGAAAGCTGTATTTTTTTCTGCGAATTTCAAACAAATCAGGTTGATCTGTCAGTTAAAACAATCAAGGCACAAGCTCAGCACATTAGCTGTAGCTTGTAGTAAAAGGATATATCATATGTCTCTCCTTAAAAATACATAATCCTTTTATTATAATGGCAATAAAGGAAATGAACATCACAAGACACAGAAGACTAGAAAGGGGAAACTACTTACTTCTGCATGTCCAGTAATTTAAATCTATTTGTACTTTTCCACAGTACATTAAAATAATAATTAACACTTATTTTTTGAAGTAAAATTTAATCTTTGGGGATATACAATGTAAATAGGACTTACGAGTAATAGCTCCATTCATTTCTGGATCTGCTTACTGTATGATCAAGTACAAGGCACAGTAGCCTCCTTCCTATTAAGTCACAACACTGATCATGTGCCTTGGTGAAATGGCTGATTAGACAAGATGATGGCGACACAAAGGGGAGACTTTGGATTGTCTATTTAAAAATGCAGGTAATAATAAAAAATTTATTTTAAGTGCACTTTCACATGCTTTGTGTTTATAATAAACAACAAACTTCCTAACTTTCTTGCAACAGGCTTTACTACTGTTTCTTTTGGCCAAATGCACTTTTCCCCAGTAAACTTAAAACGACAAGAACAATGAATCCCTGTCCGCACACGTGCTAGAGGACTGGCTACTTGACAGTTCACTGCGACACACATGACGACGACATACTGTGGCATGACTTTTTAATTTGTTGTGCTGTTACTAAAGTAAAGTTCTGAGGGCTGCAGTTAAGCATTCCAAGTTCTCCCTTCCATCTTTATTGATTTCAAGATTTTGCACAGAAAACTCTTTGGGGACTAGAACAGCAGCAATTGCATCACACTGTTTTCAAGACTTCAAGTTTCAAAAGCAAATTGGTTTTTAAAAAAAATACAGTTCCTGATTTGAGTTAGATACAGGGACAAAAATAGCACATACTTGAAGGTTACATGGTCTACAAATGGTGGCAATATTTTCCTTGGGAGAGTAGTTTTGTTGGTATATATATTTTAAATACTCAAAAAGGCTCAACCTCAAGCAGTAATAAACACAAGCAAAAGTGATTTAACCCTTAAAATAAATATTCAGAAAAACCTCTCTGTACATACAAGTGAAAGAATAAGTAGCACTTTCACGCAAAAAAATAATATTAATAATAATAAAGGATTTGTTCATAAAAGTAGCTGAAATCTGCTGTTCCAGCCCACATATCCCCAATAAAGAAGGGAGGCACAGACATAGGTGACTACTGTGGTTCACTATCTTACAGCCTTTTTGTACTAGAACACTATCACCACCAATTTTATCCTTCTTGTTATATTTATTAAAATTTTAAATTTATTTTTTTCCTTTTATTTCTTTTTTTCCTTTTTCCTTTTTTTTTTTTGTTTTTACTTTATTTTATTTTTTTACAGCATGCCAAATCCTTTGGCATAAGTGATGGCCTTCAACAATCTCTCTTTAAGTTTTTCTTTGCTTGAATATTCCGGAAGTAAAAGGACATTAAAGCAAGTATGAGATGTAGGTAACCTAAATAGAGAGAAAGGGGAAAAACAGGAAAATAAGTAATGGGAAATATGTTCAGTATTAACTGACCCTACTTTTAGATGGCATATATAGTTGAGATGGTTTGCAATGCAGATTACACATTAATGCAAGTCATAAGGATAAACTTTTTGCTTTTCTTATGCAACTACAAGTATCAGTTTGTTGTTATATCATTGCTAATGCTAATGATTGATGATGTTAACATATTGCATCCAAGGAGTTATTATTATATTATCAGATATTGTTTTAGGTACTTAAAACCCTTAGAGTTACAGAGTATCAGTATCCCAACTATGGGACTGAAGTCCCTGAGAAGCTAAGTAATTTACTCTAAGGTAGAGATAATAGTTCAACCTGGTTCTCAAGATTTCAAAGTCTGTGCTACTTTATGCTTAACAGAAATATTCCTGGTAATATGACTATATAAATAATTTAATAACAAAAAATACATAGATTTACACTAATACCATTATGTATCAAATATTGCAGAATACTATTAGAAATGTTTCTGCACATTTGTCATTAAACATGTTACTGTTCTTGTATGGTCCCTACTCACTACAATGGAGAGAGAACACAACTGAATGTCAAGATTATGGAGTTGAGGATTCTAGCAAAATCTAGTGCTGAAAAGATAACCTCCTGAACTCAATTTAACCATTCCAAATAGACTACATAATATGGTTTTTGGTTGAAAAATTCTGAAACAAAACCGAATGAATCTTATCAAATTGCAAAATTCCAAATCAAGTGAGCCCCATTAAAAAATTTCCTCAAACAACCATGATAAAATATTCTCTTAACTAATGTTTCATGTGATTTAGAAATTTTTACTTAAAACTGCAAGATTGCTCAGAAGCTACTGCACAGTTCACATGTGATGTGGAATGCAAAGTTTTTGGTATGTAGTCAAAATTTAGTGGTTACCTTTCAGTGTCTGGGCCATTTTTGGCTATAATCATCTTTAATTTTCCTAGTCCGCCCACAGGTGCTCTGTCTGTGCCCGTTGTAAATTGCAAGAAGAGTCTTTTCTGCTCATCAGTAAATGAATGAACGATTTCCCAGAACTCCCTAATGAGAAGAGATAATACAGATTTAGTTTGGCATTTGCTATCACTAGCACTAATATAAGTTTATGATTTGTATTAAAATGATATTAGGAAGTAATTTGTAAGTTAGTATTAGGAACTCTAAAGATTCATTCCTGGTGACCTGGGACTAGAAATTCCACTTATGCAAATTTATCTTATGGAAACAGTTTAAAAAATGTGAAAGCTTAGTTTATCACTACATTATTTACAGTAGTAAACGCTGGTAAACCTATATGTATAGTAATAGGAAGTAATTATGTAAACTATGGTGTATTAACAACATATAATCAGTAACAAGCAAAATCCAAAATCCAAAACCCAAATTCCATGAATTAAAATGACTGAAAAGAAATACTCTGAAAAACTAACTTCAGATGTCTTTGAGTATATGTATTTTTATTGACCCTTCCTTCCTTATTGTTGTCTACTCATACTTTACTCAATTTTGAGGGAAAAGATGGTATAGATTAAGGACAAAAGAAAAAGAAAAGGGGGGAACCCCCCCCCACACACATCTAATAGTAGTAATACAAAAGCATACAATTTTTATATAAACTAGAACACTCTGATCAATATTGTGTACTGTGGGGGATGGGAGAGATTATTCTAATATAGTTATTTTAAGAGAATAATTTAATCCCTGGTATTCCTAAAACCTATGTGATAAAAATCATGTTAACATGATTTAGATTTAGTTAAAATCTAAAAATAAAATGCAAGTTCATTAAGGGCAATCTTGGTATTCTGGTTTGAATAATCAGGTATCCAAAAATTTAACAATTCTCAGTTAAAAAATTTCAAGATTTAAGAAAAAAGTTTAAAACAGTAATTGGCAAAAGAATGAATTTTAGTGTTTTTGAAAAGTTCTTTCCAGAATCTTGGCAGAGAATGTAACATTTTCCACATCTGTGACTGTAATTCTAGTTTTTGACATTCTAGTATGCCAGCATACAATTTCTGTCACCAAAACACCAGCAGTTTTGTTGGTGCAACATCTTTATTTCAGACATAGGTCGGCAGCTTCATCAGGGCTTTCTCCCAGGCCTTGCCACTTCCCCTCCCTGTCACTCTGATACCCGCCCTGTCCCTTCAGTTCCTGCAAACCTCCCACTCACCTAAAGAAAACAATAAAGAAATACACCACAGGAAACTGGACATGGAACTTGCAGGCACATCTTTCATTTAGGAAGGAGTGAAATCATTCCACAGCTTAAGTCATTCCTCTTGGGTTGCTGGTAAAAAAAATGCAAGTCTGCTGTAGCCCAGAGCCCTCTGTTAGGGCAGGAAATCTGCCCTGCTATGGATGGTAATCAAGTCTCCTTGTTACCACAGCAACTGCAGAAGTGCTCTGGAGCCTGACTGAACCAGCCACACCTGATGAGGAAGATAGGCAGGTGCCCTTGAGTGGATGATACAGACCCTGAAAGCAATAGCCGACCAGCAGTGGTCACTGTGACCAGTCCGGCCACATTAATAAGAAGCCTTTTCTTTGATTATTCCTAAAAAATTAGAAAATATTGGGGTTACTATTAGTTTATATAATGAAAACACTTAATGACAAAATCCTCTTCCTTTAAGTATATAGTCTACACTAAAATTCTGAACTAGAAATGTAACTACTTAAAAAAAAACTGAAAATGAAGATAAGCTTCTGCATTTCTACATAAAATGGTAGCTGTATGGAAAACATCCCATTCACATTCCTAAAACCTATCCAGATCAAAAAGGAGAGAAAAATACAATGAAAACACCCATAATCCATGCCTAGATTAAAACTAGGAAAACAGAGCAGAAAACACCAACTGACATGCAAGTGCACACTAGCAGAGTCCAGCAGGAGCTACGTGAAAGAGCAGGGTGTACAGAATAACATGAGTTCGTGTTCACCACAGAAGCAAGAGCTGCACCCTAAGAATAAACCACTAAGGGCAGGTAAAAGCACTGGCAACCAGGTGGCTAAAATGAAGGGCCTTAGAAAGCATCTTGAAATAGAAATGGCACTCTTAGGAAGGCACGATGCATGGAAGGGATGGGTGCTGGGAGGGCACGCCTTGGGAGACACAGGTGTTCCTTGAAAGTGGTTTCTGGCTGTAAGGGGATGGAAGCAAATGATAAAGAAAATAAGGCCCTGATTAAACAAGATGGAATTGAAGAATCAGAAGGTGCTGGGCCATATGACCATACGCTGCAGTAAGTGTTGTCACCAGAGCAACAGAAGAAGTATCTTTACAGCTGAGAGCGCACTGAAGCCACTCAAACTCCTCCCCCACTCTCCAGTGGGCCTACTGACAGCAGGCCCAGAAAAATCCAGTGGAAGGAAACATAAATGAGAGACACAGAATCCAGAAATCCAAATAAAGCTATTATGGAACAAGTCCAGCAAATATATGAGAAGTAAAACTCTCTGGCAGAAAAAAGTACATCTGAAAAATTCAGTTCATAAAGAATGGGAAACCTGTAATACCCACATTTCATATGAAGGGAAAATTCAATAGCAGTAGGAAAGAACACCATTCATCAAAAATATAAAACTCGGAGAGAGATGGACAAATCTGAAATAGAAATAAGAACACTCAAAAGTACTTGAGAAACATGCAAAATAAACCTGGACCTAAAGGACAATTTATAAAGTGACCATAGAAGAGGCAATATGACCAAAATTTCTACTAGGGACATAGGGGTAAGAAATAAAAGAGCAAGAAAATGAATTTAATTCATTTACTAATGAATAAAAAACAAAAAAATACACACCAAAGCTGAATAAAGGAAAAGACTAGTATTTAACTACATAAACATAAAGCTTTCACTTGGCAAAATTCTTTGCTAATCCTTTGATTAGCACAATCAAAAGACAAATGACAAAACAGAAAAGTGTATGTGCAAATTTATCAAAGTTGAAGTGGCAATCTCCCTAACACAAAGTTCTAAAAATGAAGAAAATGACCAATAACCGAGCAGCAAAATGAACAAGATTATAAAAAATAAAATAGCTTTTAAGTACAAGAGAAGATGCCCACCTTCATTCATAATGAGGAAAATACAAATTATATCTACAATGAAATACCATTTCTCAACTGGTAGACAAGTAAACATCCAAGTTTAATAATGCACTGAGTTTGGGAAATTGCAGAAGAGATACTTTTCTGTACAGTTAGTGGGAGTATAAAATGTTTCCATTTTTGTGAAGGAGAATTTGGCAATATCCAGCAAAATTACATATGTATCTATAATTTGATGAAACAGTCTCACAGCAATTTAATGATACTCCCATATACATACGGAATAATCCCCATGTATAAGATGATTCACTGTTATTAATTCTAATAGCAAAGGTTAGAAATAACCACTTGGCCCATAAATATTAATAATTTTTGCTGCATTCACAAAATACAATAGCATTCATCCATACAAAAGAATGTGGAAGCTATCTCTGTATTGAAATGGGGTGATTTCCAGATATGTTGGGAAAAATTTCTTCTAACTTTGTCTCCAAAAGGCAGCCTGCAAACAGTAATATTTAACAGCAAATGTTGTACCTGGGTACCCAAAATTTATTTCTAAATGCCAGTCCCCCATAATTTCTTCTAAAAGCAGCTTATTTGAGGTCTAGTGTGAAGAATGTTCCAAGAAGAGTTAAAAATTTCAAAATTTAATGGGACCATGTTAAAAGCAACTTGAATATCATTAAGAATAATAACTTAAGTACATTAAATATATAAATATCCATGAGTTCATAACAATATTAAGAAAAGGCAAAACACAAAACACCAAACCCTGAAAAGCCAAACTCAGTTGTCACTATTTAATGATTAATTTCTTACTTTAAAATACTTGAATACATTTTATCATGCCTTTTTAATAGAGCTGGCTTTCACAGTCATCAAACAGAAACCATCGATGAGGAAAAAGAGTGACAGGTATATATGTAGAATGAACAGAAGACAGATTTTTTCCAAACAGCATTTGCAATCCCTAGTGATATAATGGATTCAGGTAAGGATACTAATAGACACTAAAACCAGGTGGAGGATAGATAAGGGGATAAGGGGTTTTGGGAAGATGATGGTAGCAATGACAGTTATTCCGTTTTTGCTTTTTATTTTAATTTTCCTAATCTCTCCCATAAAAAACTATATATTCCTGTAACTCGATAGGAAAATAAAAGACCTACAGAGAAACTCTACAACCAAACTAGGCTGTAAGATACCCCCATGAAATCTCACACACCCGTGGGCAGGAACTATAACCGCTGACAGCTGGGAGACCTGGGCAAGTGCAGCACTGGGAGTGAGGAAGCAGAGGCTTCCCGGGCTTCTTACAGCCCTGAGAACGAGAAGCTTGAAACAACTCACTGGAAAGCACAGGCCAAGGGAAGAACAGCAGGTGAAAAACAGAGGGAGTTCTACAGGACCTAATTTGTAGATGATTGTAAGGGGATCATGAGACAATAACCTCTGGGCTCTTAAAACTCTTGAGCATCAAAATTCCCTTCTAAAACAAACCGCACTGAGGTGGAAATGCTAGGAATAACATCCAAACTGACAAGATCAAGGATAATAAAAGCAAAGAAAAAAATCAAATAAATGTGTAGCAGGGAGTAGAGGAGGCAGCTTCAGAAAGCATAAGGCCGTATTTTTGTTTTTTTTCATAAAAGAGTCCTCCTAAAGGATGCAAAGGTGTCTTCACCTAACTCTCCCTGTTGCAAGTATGGGAAAACTCATTTCACTTTAAAAGAAACAAGCAACAGAGAGGGACCACAGTCAAACAAGAAACAAAGTTTTTAACAGAGCAAGTATATGTGCATATGCACAAGAATGTCGTCCCTACAGAGAATGAAAGTACACCGAAAGATCTGCCAACCAAACTATGAAAATGTAAACAAATTTTAAATAGAGTTGAAAAAAATTTGTTAATAGTACAGGCTATGAAAGAACAACTAAATCTTATCCGAGAACAAGGTAATGGAAGAAAAGGAAGATT